GAGACTCTCGACCTGCAGGGGCCCAAAGGACGGCACATTTTGTTTCAGCGGTGGGCAGCGAATCGAGGGGCGGTGGAGGAGTTCACCAGTGCACGGGGCCTGTCCATCCTTGCCCTCGGCGCTTAGCAGACGCTGCAACTCTTCGCGCCCAAAAATAACCCCACCCGGCCCATACAGCGGCCAACGACAACAGCGCATCCGCGCCAAGCTGCCTTCGAGTAGGCACAATAAACACCTGCCATCCCCAGGCGCCAGCAGCTGTCCGTCTGCCTGCCTCGCCCTCCAACCCTCTCCACTTTGCTGTGGACAAAGGCATAGCACCGCCCGCCCTCTGAGCCACCAAGCCCCCGGCCAACCATCTCCAGTCACTCGTTCATCAAGACTTCACCAACAATGGCTGCCACCGACTCCAAGCCCGCCCTGTCTACCCTCAAGACGCCCATGTCGGCCACGTACCCCTCAGAGCTCCGGTCGCCCATGGTCACTTCTGCTACCACGCCCATCTTTGCCAGTATCAAGCGGGAAGACTCGGACATCAAGACGCCAATCACTCCCCCGACAGCCTACCTCGAGTTCCTCAAGAACCTGTCGCCTGTTCTCTCAAGCCCCATGTCCACCGGTACTAGCTGCAGGTTCGTCTTTGGAGAGAGCCGTCCCACTTCAGTCACCTCATCGGCCTCGAGCGCATCCTTTACATCAACATCAGCCCCATCAGACAAGGACTCGCCAGCAACGTCAAGATCAAACAGCTGCGGTAGTTGCGACACTTCCAAGGATGAAGCAAAAGAACCAATGTCTGCACCGCCAACCAAGGTTCAAACCGTCACCATCCCACCTCCATCACCTTTTCGGCGGCACTCAGCGCGGACACCCCGCCTCTACATCCCCCAGTCACCCTACTCGCCTGCTACAGTAAGGTCCCCTGCCAGCGCAAAGTCAATCCAGTCACCCTACTCTGCCGTCTCATCACCCAAGACATGGGAGGCAGACAAGAAGACTGGCCGGTCCAGGCGGGTCAGTGTGCGCGAAGTGGTGACGAGGACAGTGACTTACAGTCGCACCCCCGTCGACGCAAAAGCGCCACACTTTCCGCAAATCGACCCCGCACCCCGCGGCAAGAGGAGAAAAGTCGAGTAAAGAGAATGCGTGTGAAGGCTGTTAGGCAGAACACACTTGTCTCTACAATGCCAAGTCGAGCATGCATGTGCGCGCAACCTGCTCGGACTCCGTCCAACCATGCTTCCTTTCACGCCCTGCATTGGCGCCCACTCGACGGCGCCTAATTTCTCATTCGTCCACCAAACACCCGCCTACCTTGTACACACACTCACATTCACACACACACGCGCGCATTCGGTTTACTAAACCAACCCGCCCGTCCGCCAATTTCAAACTAATACCTTGTCGGGTCCAGGCGATCCGATCGCAAGCCAATTACTCTTCAATCATCACACCACATCACCAATCGACAGATCTAACCACAAATCTACTCTCACTTTCCAAACCCACTCTGTTTATTACACCACCCCCACTACTACCCCTACCAATAGAGGAAACGACGTTACGGCCCACGTCCTTTCTCTTCAACTCATGACTTCACTTTTTCTTTTATTAACGGCGGAAAACATTATCACATTGGCGTTTTTACTTTTCTTGGGAAACACCCCCTTGATCAACTTTACTACATTTGTTCCTATTTTATTGTAGGGCCAGGATACCAAACATTAAAGGACCCGCCGCTTGCGGGAGGTAAGGGGGGAGGGGTGTGCAGTGCGGCCACCAGCCAGCGCATGCGCGAGAAAGAGACAGAGAGAGCAGGGGTGTAGGGTATATGACATCTATTGGTTTATCGCTCTCTCCCCCCTCTCTCTTTTTGGGCAGCCGGGGGTTTTATCAGCAAGGATTTTTTTGCTTGCTGCGTAGGAACAGGGCGAGAGGGTTTAGCGAAATTCCGCACGTGCAGCAGCGCACCTGGCTGGGCGGCTAGAAAGAAAAAACCTGCTGTCCCAGACTCTCTGCCTCTCAATTTCTGCCGCGTGCGGATTGGCTGTGCTGCCTTTTTCGCCCACCTTATTGGAGCCGGGGGATGTGGAGGGGCGTTGCGCGTGTTGGAGCGGGGGAAAGCCAAAGCGGTAAAAGAGGGCTGGCGAGCTGGCTGGGGGTGTCAGATGAGAGAAACCCGTATGTCGACGTAGTAGTAGTTCCTTTTTTTTTCCTGGCATGATGCATATACACTATGCATCATCGATACTATTATCAATTTTAAAAAAAAATTACTGAAATCCACATTTTCCTCTTCGTATTTGTTTCTCTCACATGACAAAGTCCAGTGCGTCTTGTAGAGAGCATGTAAGTAAGTGCCAGTCTACTCCAACTCTCCCCCCCCCCCCGGTCTCCCTAAATACCAATAAAACAATACCTACCCCCTGCTCCCTATACCACAGCATCCCAGACCCTTAACTTACACAACGCAGCATACATCCTCGATATCACGGATCGCAAGCTGCTCAGTGCGCAAGAAACATGGGTATTGCATCCTCGTATGCAGGTCGCGATAACGCAATCCGGTGAAACGGGCGTATAAGTCTGCATTGTGAATATGTGGAGGGGGAGAGGGTTATGGGCGATCTGCGGTGTTTATTGGGTGGATTGGGTAGATACGTGTACGATGGTTTTTGGAGGAGAGGTATGGAGGATTGGGGGTAGGGGGTGCGGTATTTGCACACAGCACACCTGCTTTATCTTCACTCTCTCTCTATATATATATACAATACAACGAGTGCATACGTGTGTGGGTTGATGAATTGAGCGCCTCTCGCACCCGCGTTGACCCTTTTAATATCCATGCCCAACGTACTTCTTACAGAATTTTCACTGTACTGTATATTTCTTCATGACGTATATATATGTTATTGAGAATGCGAAGAGACGTATGCACAACCATCTCGAACAAGAAGAGAAGGGGGAAAAAAGCAAATACCACTGCATCTACGGTAACATGTTTAGCTCCAGCACAGCGCTTCCAGCGCGCACAGATCATGTTGATCACCCAATCAGAGTCTAGTGCAGGGATATGCGGGGTCAAGGGTGTGGGCGCTTAACCTTGCGGTTTCCCGTACATACGGTTGCGGTGAAGAACAGAGAGAGAGAGAGAGAGAGCGTGTAGATGGATGGAGTTTTGCGAGTGAGGGGGTGTTGGAGGTGTTGGAGTTTTTCCCTTTCTTGCTGCCTCACTTTGTCTTAGCTCCCCCCCATTCTTTACTCCCACGTCCTTGTGTAACCCAACCTACCCACTTTCCACCGCGCTGAAAATGCAAGAACCAATGTTGTGTGGCAGCGCACAAGTCACGTGGTACCGAAACTAAAAGCGAACTGAACTTTAGAACATCGGGTACAGATGGCGGGAAAGACAGAGATGCGAGATATACTTTGCATTTGTTGTACGAGTTCTCTCCAAGAGAAAAAAAAAAGCGCGAACCCCCGCCCCCTTGAGTCTGTTGGACGATGAAAAGTTTAAGCACCCGCGACACACACACACACACACACACAGCAACCCTCTTTTTCAACCGAGAGAAGCGCCGTATGTTGCTTTGCGGCACGGTAAGAAGCGTATGCGGCGCGCTCGCCTCGGGGGTTTTTTTTAACCGCGTTGTGGCACGGTTTGGCTTTGTCGGCTGCTAGACCGGCAACGAAGAGGCTCGTAAGTTGCAGATTTTGGTAGGTCAGTTCGTACACTTCGGTGCTTCGGTGTTTCGGCGGTACCGCGGTTGTACCTTTGCACCCCCGAGGTTTTTTTGTATAGGTGAATGTGGTGGTGGTGGTGGCTGTGGAAGTGTGGCTGTGGTTGGAGGCGTTATAAAACTTGCCTACGTATCCCTGTCGCTGCGACTACAGTGCAGAGTAGAGTAGAGTAGAGTAGAGTGGTAATCGGGGTGTCCGAAGCAAATAGGCGATGCCTCTTTGCGTAATTTTTATGTCCTTTTACTTACTCGCTCGTTGGGAAGATTGCTAAGGGCTAGTTTTCTTTTCGTGTGGGTGAAAAGGGATATGCTAGTGGGATGGCCCTTCTTTTCTACGAGCGCTGCGGCATAGTAGTGAGATAGCTAGCGGCGTCGCTATTGCCGTGCCGAGGTATCCCCTTTCCCTGCGGAATGCTTGTTGCGAGGAAGCGAGGTGCATGTGGCACGGATATGCAGAGAGACAAAAGGAGGGTTGGTAGACGCGCGTGTGGTGTTGGCAGTGCGTCATGTATTGCGTTTGACTGTGATGGTGTGCACAGGTGAGGATGCGATAAGAGGGGATCAGGATGGATGTGCTTGGATAGTGGGTTTAGCATCAGATGGGTAACTTTAAATCTGATGATGCACAAGGCGATTTTTTTAAGCTTAAATGTGAGGCTGTGGGGATAACCCTTGTGCTTAATAGATGATAGAACGGATAATGTAGGGTGGGGATAAGCACCTTAAGTTTTTAACGTTGCTTTTTGTGGATATATGGTTAAACTGTGGTGTTTGGCAAAAGACCAGAATGGTTGTTTTCTGCGTACTGTCGTGATTTGATACGTTAATGGGTAGAAGGAAGTGGATGTGTGGAATGTGTGGAATGTGTAATATGGGAAGAAGAAGAACAATGTGGAATGTGGATGCACATGACTGTATTCACCCGAGAGATGTGAATGTGGACAAGTCTGAGTTTATGATATTCTTTTACTCCTCGTTGTTGGATCGTACGCATGTGGAGCTGATTTTCAGTCGTGCCCCAATCACTAAAAAAAAGCAAGAAGGTATAGTCATCATCAAAGAATACCATAGACATTAATCAACTATGATAAACACATTACCACCACCCCCACATTACTCCCCAATTAATCTATATCCCAAGCCCCCCAACTAACAGAGGTATATCTAGTAATATACGCATCATAGGTATCATAGCTTTTCATGCACCAAAATCATGGTATTCGAGAACAAAGAAAAAGAAAAATCGCCTCTTCCCAAGAATCAAGCCCTTGATGATATCGCAGTGACATCCGTCGTTTGCTCCAGGCTAATCTCATCCGACGACCTGTCGTCAATGGCATATGGATCTCTAGGGTTGCTAGACAGATTTCGTAACTCGGTTGTGCTATGGAATTTGACTTCCTTTTGGATATAAATCGAGCTGCCTGGCCCACTCTTTGTATTCTGCTCGTCGTCGAGCCGCGTGCGTTGGCCATACGCATTGCCGTACGCATTGCCGTAGCCGGATGAATCCTTGTTGGAAGATCCGAGCAGGACCGGTGCAATGCGCTTGACCAATGGCCGCAAGGTAGGCACGCAAGCGCACATTATGCCGAGGTTCGTCTCGACAATGGATAGCATGGCGGTAGTTGCCATTATCCATGTCCCATCCGTAGTGTTCTTGGTCACATGCAGTTGTTGCGCCAGTCGCACGGCTGAGATGACACATACCCTGATCTGGTTGTCAGCATCATGTTCACCCGTCAGGGAAAGAACTAGCAGATAGAAGCACTCACACGAGACCCAAGCACAAAACAGTCAAGAGGTATGCTTTGCGCACTTTGTTGATCTGCAACTGGAGCACGGGCTTGATCGGAACCATCAAAATGGCAAAGTCGGTAACCATGTTCATTGTGCTGTTGAGAATGAATGGACTGTGCCTTGTGTCAGCAAATCATGTATCATGTATGTGCCGCGCGGGATATGGTGCTTACATGTCGGGCCGGATGCAAGCCACAGTCTTCGGATAGATAAGCTGTACAATGCCGCACGCGAACGAAGTGTATATCCTTTAGCCGTTAGATTAGAACTCGGCATGTTTTGCGAGTCAAAACTTACTGTTGCGCAATTCCCCATACGAGCAGAAATGCCACGCTCCAATTGCATATTGCCCGCATTGTCTGGCTGGGAAATATGTGCCTGTATTGCAGCATGAGGGATACCTTTGTTGCAATCTGCGTCGCGTTGTAGACGGCCATGGCAGAATAAACCAACTTCTCCAGTCAGCATATTTCTCAGTACTTTCTCGCAGTCTAGGCCTCACCTTCAGAAATATGGGCAGTTTGTCCATTACAAACTGAATGTGTCGTCCTATACCCCCAACCGTGAAGCACACGATATTGATGGCCGTGAGGCCCAAGCCTAAGATTTGGGCCAAGAGAATGACATAGTCGTCACTTGTGATATGTCTCAGGAGTATCTTTCTGATTTGTTGTCAGGCCATGATACGCCGAGTTTCCGGGCAGTCCTTACCGTGTGTACAGTCGAAGGGCGACTGTGGTGCACGAAGCTACTGTGAAGACAATAGTGACGGCGAGACCGGCAGGAGCCTGCAAAGTGTCAACAGGTTTGTTCTAAATAGTAGGCAGTTGATCGCATACGAGAGACTCTTTTGCCAGTTTCGGGTCGAGGTTCGGCGGCGGAAAACCATTCATGTTGAGCTCGATTAGTGTGCAACAGCACAAGTGATCTTCATCCGTGTTCAAATGGGGTAATGGGGGTCCATGTGTAAGACTTTCCAGAGTGTTAAGTAAAGCTTCAAAGGAGACCAGGGAGCAACTCAAGCACTTTTTCTTCTAGAACGACACGGTGTGCTGTTGTTATGCGGGGCGGGGATAGTCCGGTTCATTGGGCGTCGTACAAATTTTGGGATGTTGCTAATTAAGTGTGAGACGCCACTTGAAAGTTAATCGATGAGTCGCGGCCGACAACGATGTCCCCTACACTTGCCCGGGGAAGCGTAGCATCCATGTCAAAGCGCTACAGGGTGCACATGGAATCGTACATGCAAGTCGCCATCACACTCGCTTCTGGCTTGAAGCAGCTATCTATCTAAGCCTGGTTCAGCTGTAAATTACACTAGTTGCCTTAGCTAGAGATTGGACATGCCGACGCGCAAGCATCATGCGGGCCGTAGTATTGGGCACCGATGCAATGGCAAAAACGCTCGGTGGCCAGGCGACGGATGAGGAGTCGCAATGGCAAAACATCAGCCCATGGTGGCAGATGCCCCAAGACCAAGAACCACCAGGCCTCAAAGAGTCAGCTGGCAAGACTTGGTAATGCACGGCTAACATCTGTCAGGCCATTCTGATGGTTCAGATGAATCGTCTTTGAGAACTAAAGTGAGACTTACCTGAAGGGGCATCTCGGAGAGTTCCGTGCGAACATGGACGTACAGCGTTTGTAGACGAAGACTCAGTAGCGACCAATGGACACACTAGGAAGCGTCACCCGTATCTTTATCAGGTCCCGGTTGACGGACCAATTGAACGATATTAAATGGTTAAGGGTGCTCGACTATCGTGGCAATGGTGATTCGTGCAGATCGCCGTCCTGTCCTCCCGTCCCGTTCGCTGACCGTTCATCTCATCACCTTGCTATAAGGGGTCGCGTGGTGGCACCGGGAATATTTCGGTGTGATCCATGCGTATGGGGAGCACGTGTCGCCTCCACACACTAGACGAGGGAATAATTACACGGACCAAGAATACGGCTTCTGATGGTTCCGTCGTTTCTGTCAATGAGGTTGTCATTAGCTATCACACTCCACATTCCGTAGTACGTACCCCTTACACACGAAACCATCAAAACGTAAACCGGGGGTCAAAACATAATGAACAAGACAGGTCGAAACACGCGCGATACGCACCTTTAATGCACACCACTTACCGATCGGGCGCAAAGTACCCTTGTATTGTACAGGTACTGTGCATCAATAGTGTCGGTATTCCCCACATGCTCATCGTCTCGGGAACAGTGGAAGAGCGGGGCCCCTTGCAGATCCGTAAGTCGCGCGGTCTTTTTGGATCGATTCTTAGTCCTCACTTGTCTGTGATCGATTCTGCATAAGATTACGTGCATATTTGCGACATGAAACGCAAGAAATTTGAAGGAAGCATGGACTTTGTCACGTTTCATGTGTGTCTGTCAACTTTGGTGTGTTCGGAAAAGGAGGGTGGATACAGTCGCCAGGCGACTGCCCTTTCTTGTATACGACATTTCTTCCACCGTTGTCGTGTATCCTAGTATGCCACTTTAGTACTGCACGACTGCAGTGTCTTCCAATAGCATCTATACCGGCCATGGTACCCTCTCATGGAACACCCGCACCTTTTGTGCCTTATTCCACTGCCAGCTTAATCTTGACCATTAGGCCAAAAATGTGTCCATGTTGGAACGAAGCATACACTGCAGCTCTCCTTGAGTCCATGTCAATATGTACAGTCCTTGTTCCCTTGACCGGATCGCGTTCCGGAAGGAGGGTAACCCTGCGACTATTGACATCCATATTAGTACCTAGCCGGGTTGAGCTGGCATATTGACAAACGTACATATTCGATCGGTACTTCGCAAGGAAAACCAAGATGGATTTCTTATCTACATCCGTAGCTAGATTGGAGAGAATGAGACGACGAGCAAGTTGGCGTTTCTTGTCCTCCTCATCTTCAACGTAACTACCGGTGCCAATGAGCTGTTCGTTCTCGTTCCGAATCATGTTCTCCACTCCCCGCTTCCCATGGAATTCATCTGTGTTGCTACTAAACAAGTACGTGCTCCATCTTTTGACGTGTTCCCACCTGCAACTAGACGCCTCGAGCATGAGCGCCACGGCATACGGAACGATCTCCAGACTAAGCGAGCCAGCTGAATCGATGCAGAGGCGACTCTTTGGGTCCGTACCGAAAGGAACCGCGGGCCCCGTACACCTAGTAAGCGGTGTGGATTGGCAAGCTAGTGAATGGAAAGGCGGGTATGGGGTGTCCGATTCCCCGCGGGCGAGCTCAAAGTCGCCATCAATATCCCTGGATAGTTCCAGCCTTGGCTCTGACGTGCTCCCCTTGATTTCTAAGAGCATAGCTTCCAGTTCAACAAGATCGCAAGTCTCAGTATGGGCGGTGCCTAAGCGAGTCATAGTCGAATACGCTCGGTCGGTGTCTCCGCGGATGGCCGTCACCTCCTGGTTGGTAGCACGGAGGCTGTCCTCGTTATTCAGATCAGTATTGCCACTCTCCTCCCTTTCAGTGCTTCCTCACCCTTCACTCTTGCCTGTGGTCACCCGTCCCACTACCAGTCGCTCTCGGTTTCGCAACTCTGCCTCCCGCTGATCACTCGCTTTGACAAGTGTATTTCTGATCTCTTCTAATTGGCGGCGAAGCAGGCTGGTCGTCATTGTTATGATCCGGCGAGATGAAAAGAGATAGATGGGTTGGTTCAGAATGGAAAACGCGTATATTTTTGGTTGGTGAGAAGTGATAGTGTAGAGGACGTGGGAGGGGGTTGGTTGTCCAGTGACAACATGGGCAAACAACCTGGAACCACCATGAGGAAGACACAGACGACCCCTAGCATTAGTCGCAAGAAGCATTTGTGGTGAGACCGATGTGTTCGACGGGCATTAACCGGTGTGACGATTGTGTGATAGTCAATTTTCTTGTAGTGAGTTTGATAAACGAAGGCATTGAACTAGCTTCATGAATGTGTGATGATACGGTGAAAAGTGGAATGTGAAGATTCAACACTACATATATAGCTCGAAAGGAGATGCATACACATGTGCTCTTCTCCATCCTTCCTACACCTAGGTAGCATACAGTTTCTTAGGTGAAGGAACACCGAACACCCAACCTTACACGAACCCTCAATGGTTTCGTTTGAGGCGCAAAGCATATGAATTTGTAAGACGAGTCTATCCAGACGTCCTAACCCAGCTCACATAGCTTTCCTTTTGACCCGAAGAGAAATAAAGCGCGCACTCACTGCTTCTTCTTCCCCGCTCCCTTCTTCTCTTCAGCCAGACGCTCCATTTCTTGAATCTCCTGCTCCTCGGCCCTCTTGGCATACCACTGACCCGCCTGCAGGACCAAGACGCCCACGAGGACAAGCGCAAGAATAGTATTGCTAGCTGCAAAGACCCTTAGTGTGTCTTCCCTCGAGATGTAGTCGCCCATGTCCTCTTCGGTAATCTCGCCCGGGTTAGCCTTGTCCATCTCGCCGTAGATACCAGCCGTGACGACGCGGAAGCCCTTGACAATGTTGGTCAGGTAGACGGTGATGCCGGCCATGTACAGGACGAGGGATGCGCCGTCAAAGAGCATATTGGCTTGGTTGGGCTTGAAGAGCTTGATCAGGAAGCCGAGGAGGCCGGTGCCGATGACGAGATTGAGGATGCGCGAGACGATCGCGGGCGAGGCATAGAGAAACTTGATGTGTGACTCGAGAATGTCAAAATAGGACGCGCGGTCCTCGGGCGTCGTCCACAGGACATTGTAGTCGTAGGGGAGTTGTGCGAAGAGGATGCCGAGGAAAAAACATGTCGCTGTGCGCTGATTAGAATGTACTTTGTGCTGGATGCCCGAGGCTTAGGCTGAAGCGGAATTGAAGGGCCTACATACGTCCAACTACCATGAATTGCGCAAAGTTGTTTGCTGCGCCGACTGCCATGATTGCGATGTGGAATGGGATGCGGAATCTAGGGCATGTGCAATCAAGGGTCTTTGAGGGTGGATAGAGGCCAAGTGGAAGCTGGCGCAGGCTTATCGTGCTCGTTTGCTAACCGCGAGGCGCAAGAATCGTCGTTGGAGGTAAGCCTATTTTAGAAGGTAATGCCGGGAACACGGCTTGGAAAAAAGTCCTTCACTTGGCTAGTATCAAAAGCGAGGCCCGAATCGGTGTTGAAGCGGTGATTGTCTCGTCGGTTTGCGAAGTTCGTTCTCGCAGTTCGCTAAAGACCCCGCGATAGTTCATGCCGCTATGATGCTCATCTGCAGATACGTGCCTTGGCATGTGACCACATACCTATATCACGCGATATTTATCCCAAGGCGTCCAGCGTAGGCGTGGTGATAGAATTGCTTCATTGTAAGCTACACACAGCCATATATGCGGCTGCAAATACAATAGTAATGTCCTAAGCGCCGCTTGGATATCCAACGCCTTCATACGCCATGTCCCAATCGCACTGCTATTCTTGCTCCTTCTCATGCGTAATCTAGAAGTCATTGTCGGCATCCATGTCCTCATCTTCCATACCAGCCTCGATGAAAACAAGTCGTGTTCCTTCTCCAGTCGTTTGCCAGACCTGTCGATTAGTGTTAGCGAGCAATTAGCTACGTCTTTCTGCTGACTACTTACATCAAGCATAGCGTATTCGTCAATAGCCGACTCGAATTGATCGGCCGTGAAGCCCTTGGCCAGAACTCTTTCCCTAACTCTGCGGAGGTCAAGTTCACCCCTGGTACCATCGCCAACGGCTGCAGCACCGCTCGCCTCCATGGACTTGATGAGGTGGTAGATCTTGCTGCTGGGGGTATGATCATCCCTGCGGTTCTCGTCGGCGTAAAGACTGGCCTTGCTGACCTCTGTAAGGCGGAGGGCCTCGTCGACGTCTTCCGAGATGACCTCATCAGCAAATCGTAGACGAGCCAGAGCCTGGGCCAGACGAAGCACACCCAAGAGCGTACGTGGCGACGTGTGCGTGAAGGCCTTCTTATTGCCATCATCGCGCTTTTGTTGTTGACGCATGCGCACATAGGCGCCAACCATGTAGTCGGCAACCTCCTTGGGTACAGTTGGTCGATAGGACCTGGCACGGGCAACCCACTGTCGAACTTCCGCAGGGCTGAAGACGATGCCTCCTGGGGCTTCGGGATGGGCGTTGTGCATGTGGACATGCGTAACGTGGCGGGCAAGCTCTTCGTCCGAGTCACGCGTAGGGGTATCAAGAATGAGGAACAGAACGTCGAAACGGGACAGAAGAGCGGCGGGGAGGTTGATGTTCTCAATGGGCGACAAGCGGGGGTTGTAGCGACCGTACAGTGGATTAGCGGCTGCGAGAATCGATGTGCGGGCGTTGAGCGTGGTGGTGATACCGGCTTTACTGATGGAGATTGTCTGCTGCTCCATAACTTCGTGGATTGCTGTTCGGTCGCTGTCGTCCATCTTATCAAATTCATCAATGCAGCACATTCCATTGTCGGCAAGTACAAGGGCACCTCCCTCGAGAACCATTTCGTCCGTTACTGGATCGCGCATGACGGCTGCAGTCAGACCAACGCCACTGCTACCGCGACCAGTCGTGTAGACACCGCGAGGCGCAACCTTCGTAATGTACTTGAGCAATTGGGATTTGGCCACACCAGGATCACCCATCAGGCAGACATTGATGTCACCACGGATGCGCATACCATCTCCCACCTCCTTTGTGACACCGCCAATGAGCTGGAGCAGAAGTGCTTTCTTGACATCGACATGGCCAAAGATTTCAGGTGCAATGGATCGCGACAGGTACTCGTACAGCTGGCCGGTCCTCTCGAGCTCATTCATTCTTCGCAGAGTTGGTTGGGCAAGCACAATGTCGTCGTAGGCCTTCTTGTGCTGCAAGACGTACTGGGCCTCGAGATAGGTATCGGTAAGAAGACCAGCGCGAATCGCCTTGAAGCCAGTGTAAGGCGTTGGGAGGAAAATTCCAGTGCAGTCAATGACGTCGCCAGGGTTAATCTGGCGGACCAGAGCGCCGTGGCAGTGAATGGTTAGCTGTCTTGGGATGTGGCCGACTGGCACCTGATCGGCCATTTCCTGAATCTTGACTTCCTGGAATGGGAGGAATTTTGAAGCGCGGGTAGACAGAAACAGCTGGCCCTTGGTCTTATTGCTCTTGCACTCTTCTGAAGGGCATTCTACAAGCGGAGTGAACTGCTTGGTCGTCACCGGTTGGAAAACTTCACTACCACAGCGGTCGCAAGAGTAGGCGTTGACAAGCACTGCAGGCTTAACGTCCGAGACCCTTGTTGCAATACCGCGGACTGTGATGAGGTGGCCGAGGTGCTCTCCGCGGACGTTCCGGACGGCGAGTGCTTTGAGACTGCGCTGGCTGCTGGAGCCAGATGGTACTCTGGGCTTGAAATTGAGCGTGTAGCGTCGCGTCAGGGCTGGGGGAAATATTGACTCGGGAGCGGCCTGCTCGGCATCGTCGACGCCCTGTAGCTCTTGCATCCTTTCATTGCGCTTGGAGCGCTGTGTCATGATCACGTCCAGCACATCGTCCTTGAAGCTGTGTACAGTAAGTGCTGGTGCTGGCAGATTTCACGTAGTGCCATACCTCAGCTCTCTAGTGGGTTCTGGAAGGCACTTGTCCACGGCGCGCGAAAAGATCTCAATGTAGTGGTGGGCGTTCCGCTCGATGGACTCGACCAGCCTAAGGTTTTGCTCGTCGTCTAAAGCTTTCTCGTACTGGCGACTATGGATCAGTTGCGGGGTGTCGGTAGCTGGTCGTGGTCACTCACCGCCTCGACGTCGTTGAGGTCTATTTGGATCTCGTCGCGCATGCGATTGGCAACCTCTTGAAGCTGGTCCATGTACTTCAACTTGGACTTGTTGCGCGCCTGGGCTGCGGGGCCGCTATCCTCGTCGTCGACCATGTCGTCGTCATCCTCGGTGCCATTGCCGTTCAGGTTGAGGCTCTCGAGCTGGTCCGCTGCCTCGGTCGAGGTGGACTTGTAGTTTTTGAGGAAATCAACAAAGGCAGCTATGCGGTGTTAGCAAAGGGCGGCCAGGTGTTGTGTACGCGTATGTATATACACACCTTCCTGCTCATTGTAGTTGACGGGCGCACTCGTAGTGAGCAGCGCCATGGGGGACGAGATTGAGAGGTGGCGGCCGGAATATAAAAAAAGTCGGCCGTTGGTCTGGTGTTATTGGTGATATCTCGGAGACAATTGCAGCGGGGAGGGAATGGCAAAATCGGGGCTGGGCTGGGCGCGTTGCTGGGTTGGGGCGCGTCCACCCGCGTCGACAAGGGCCCGCATCCCGTCGGTTCTGCCGGCTGCCACCGCCCTGGGCCCATGGCCGCCGACGACCTCGGCTCGCTGGGGAGAGAGAGAGAGTGATGCGCTTGGGCTTGGGAGTAGCAGCCGT